TGTTATGCCACACGCTAATAGCACGACCAGCCACAAGAAATTTTTCTGTTTACTTATGCTATCCATACTTTCTAGCTATCTTTCTCTCTTACTCTCTCTCTCTTAAACGCTTCGCTGTCTCCTTTCATGCATTTTGCTCGAGTGATTTATTTTCATGCACCCAATTGCCTCACAAGTCATTTGCTTTGATTGTTTCAACATGCCATATGCGGCATTTGCCTTCACACAGCCACACACACACACAACTTGGATTGGTGCACTCGCAGTCCTCGAGTACCAGCCTATTCGTATAAGTGCGTTTTTCACGGTCACTATATGTGCCGCTTGCCTAAATGTCTGTTATTAGCAATTCGTCTATCATTTCTTTTTAATCTCTTCTTTTTTACTTTTATCACTCTATGCTCTCTTTTAATGGCTTTGTGGCTTGTCAATCTAGATTTATGCTCTCACAACATGCTGCTCAGTGTAAAATAGTATTGTGCGGTTAACGGTTGTTTGTAAAACCGAGCAATAATATATATAGAATAGTTATACATCTGTCAGTCCTAGCGATGTTGATTGTGAGTAAAAATTGGGATCTCTTGAAGAAACTTCATCTGAAGAAACAAAGGAATTCAACGAAGTCAACAAAAATTTGGTTCGGTGTATCCCAGTAGAGAGAAAACTATGCTATAAACAATTTTGACAAGGCGACGTGACGATTTGGTCGAATTTAATATAGCCATGTTAAAAACTATAAGAGCTATATTACTCAAAACGAAAATAGAAAAGCGAAAACAGAGTAAAAGCCTTGACAGATGGCAGCGTTAATCCGGATTAACTGCGCACTTAATCAGTTTAAAATTTTTAGGTGGCAGACGACAGCTATGAGAGTTTGAAACTCTCGTAAACAGCTGATTGCCATTTTTATAACACCTTCAATGAAAATGGATAGAAGATAAACATTGCGAATTTTAACCAAACCATTTTTTTTACAAAAATATTTCAACATGTTTTTTAAAACTGCATCATAACATGACAACATAACATAAAACTTCTTGTTTTATTTTTGAAAATTCGAAAAACAGCTGTCAGTGTTTCTTGTTTTTCGTTCACAATAGATTAAAATTGCCCATTTTTAATAATGTTGCCAACGAAAGTGCAACTAAATCTCTAAAATTTAGAGAATTAAATGGGAGTTAGCAACGGAGTTATCTTCACTAACTGCTGCCGTTCACTAACGCTGCCGTCTATGAATGCTATAAGGATAACGTAAGAAGCAGTTCATTTATCCACATGGAGGTTCAAAAATTGATCACAAGTTTGAGTAAGACCGCACTCTTTTGAACCAAACTTGGTTAATCAATTTGTATAAGTGCTCCTTGCAAAATTAGTATAGAATTTTCTAGGCTCCTTGTCTCTAGTTCACCTGATGATATTTTCAGACGGGTTCGTTAGTCTCAATAATTGCAAATTGAGAATGGTACTTAATGGCTGTGTAGTGGTTAGATCCTTCATAAGAGGGCCAGTGAACTATTCGCTCTCAGCAAGGCCCACCTCGCCACTATCCGATTAGGATTTATGCCATAAGATCCATATTTTTGCGGTAGGTATCAGCAGCTTGGAAGGAATTGACTTAACAATACCGCCTTGAATATTCAGCCTTTTCCAAATTTAGACAAATGTACCACGGATCTCATACTTTAAGACATTCTAGTGAAATAGCGTAAATAGGAATAAAACACGTAAGTAGATTTGGGATAGATTAAGTGCGTTTTGCCTATAGATGTTTATGAAATTACAGGAGTTTTCACATTTGGCTTCACAATGGACTATACAAAGCATCCTAAAAGTGAACCCGCTGTGACGAGGAGATATCAGTAATCTAACCTAACCTAATCTACTCGCTTATTTGAAAATATGTTGCATAGCATAATCCCTGATAAATAGTTGACAGCCGACTATTTGAGAAAAACCATTATTAAAAAACTTTCTTACAGCAGATTCGTTCATGAACAGGTTTTGAACTGCTAGAGTAAATTTTATAAAAACAATGAAATTTATGCAAATATTCTGCAAGACTTTAACTTTTAAATTTTCCTTGATATGTACATATATTCGGTAACACCCGAAACAAGCTCTTCCTTACTTGCTTTAAAATTCATTACAGTGTTTTTGTTTCTGCTTGTCTGCCGGTCTAATGCAACTCAAGTAGCAGGAAGTACTTGCGCTTTCGTCGGGGAAGTTGCGGCAGCTGATGCCACTCACGCCTCAAAGTACTCGTCTGTCAATTTCAAGTGCGTGTGACAAATGAGTTTTCTTACGCTCGGAGATAAGCAAAAGTCGAATTCTGAAATCGGCTGAAAAAATGTTCATTACTCATTGTGCTCTTTCGCGTTCAATAATTGTGAGAAACTTTGAATATTTTAATGCAACATTTTATTATCAAGGGCAATCCATTAAGTTTATCGTTAAATGTGGTTTTGTTGTTATTTAATGAAAATACTCTCTTAGCATTTCCCTTTTACTGGTACTTCTGCTTTCAATGCTTGATCAATTTTGTTGATGTCTCAAACCGTTTGAAACAGTTGTTTCCTTTACGAGTCCATCGATAGTTAGAAATAACATAATTGAGGCACTACGACCTATGGTTACAATAGAGCCTCTTCGGTATCACATATGGTCACAAAAGTCCATCACTCTAAATAATTTCAGGAGCTTGCTGGGTGGAACTGTGGTAATGTGATTCCTGTCCAGGTAGAAGAGTGCCTTGGAGTTCTGAAGTTTCTAATTCCATGTCGCAAGCCCGGCAGTTTTCGCTTGAAACTATGTCAATGTTAAACAAGTGATTCCTAAGCTTGCCTCTAGACAAAACCTTTTGTAGTCTGCCCTCAGGGGCGAGGAGACGTTGTCACGGAATTTCCCGAAACTATTTATCTTCGCGGGCCTAATTTCCTTGTTATAGGTTGTTAGGTACTGCCTATATCCTGCGCACTGATTGCCTGAGCACTGAGAGTTTACTAGGCCACCTTGAACAGGTTTGCTTTCTCTTGGTCACCTTAACTGTACAGGATCAGTGATAGGCATCCGTTATAACTGGTTTGTGGCAGCTAGCCTGCTTTCCAGTTCAGCCACGGCGGATGCACTATCTATCTGTCTCACTCCTCTCTTAAAGACACTAATGTTCGTACTTCCAGCGATCCGAATCGGCTGACGGTTCATTGTGGAACCAAAGGTCGTCCACGTCAGTACCCTCCAATTCAGGCCTCATCGCTGAACAAAGTTTTCTTGTGAAAAAAATTTTTTTTCTTATTCGTGGTTTGGTGCATCATGATTTTGGTTTTGGAGAGACAGACGGTCAATATAGAGGCTATACAAGTGTTTTTTAATGTAAGCATTCAACGAAAATGGCAGGAGTTGTGAAACAAATAATTTATAGATTTAACACGATGATAATTCAGCAACACATTGAGCCACGATTGAGACCAAATTTAAGCCCATCGATCAACTATCGTATAGAAGATTTGGTTCCGTGTGATTTATTCTTGTTCCCCAAACTGAAATGGCTGTTCCGGGGAACCCGTTTTAAGCCGATCGAAGAGCTGAAGCCATCCCAAAAAGATCTTATGAAAAGTGTTTTAAGGACTGGAAAAATCGTTGGCATAAATACATATATTACATTTAGTGGAGATTACTTTGAAGGTCCAAATAAATACTGAACATTTTGTGTCTCATTTAAAATTCCGGCCAATTTTCTGCCGCAACTTGTAAAGTTTGAAATAGCTGCCATAACGCATTCTGTTTCTTAAAGGTGTGAACTAATTGGAGAAAACCAAAAATGATATGAAAAATAGTATTTCGTATGGGTAGCGTAGAATCTATAATAATCGCTCATGACTACGTTAACTTCCTTTGGAGAATATTGGATCATATTTGCACCAAGAAAAGCATGGGTTGGTTTTGCGAGTTCTCTTCGACTACGATATGTTGACTATCTAACACGAAGGTTTTGCTATAGCAAAATAAAAGAAGAAGCCTGGTCAATGTTATGGAATTTTATAACACATCAAAGCAGCATCCACTCTGCCGTCATTGACTACAATAAAACTTTAATTTAGGTTTATCACACCTTTAAATCTAGATCTCTTAATTTACACCGCCAGATAATTTGAGCTATTCTCCCATACAATCGACAATTCGACTCATCTGCTCATATTTTCGTTTACGTTTCTCGCTTTGTCTGGTGAGAACATGCTATTTCACCACGTGTCTCCACGCTTGTTCTCGCCTGCCATAATATTTCGGAATAAAACGAAAACAAAGCTATTTTTTGCATGAGACATAAACACTACGCCACAAATAATATGCATTTCCTCAATGAAACCAAAAAGCCAGCCGGCTTACGACGAGATTGATAAGAGAGAAACAATAGCAGGAAGAAATGTTCAGTGAGAGAAATGCTAACTGTTATACAATAATTTTCGCTGTGGGCGTTGTAGTTGGTTACTTAATGGTCACAACCGAGTAAGAGAGCAATCCAGTGTGCAGCAAGGGAGCTGAGCTGAACAACTGTGCGTCGCGCACACGCGACAAAACTGCAAGCGAGTCACAGCTACGCTGTTCTCTCTCTATATCTCTCTCTGTATATGTGTGCAGTATGCCACCATGCGTAGCCGTTATATGACGAAGAGAGCGAGTGCGATTATTTATGCAAAGCATAGCTGACTCTTGTTAGCGCTAGAGGCGCGACAGAGTCCTTGCTGCACGCGTAGAGAGTTGTCAAACGCAGCAGCCAGACGAGCATTCCTATCGGCGCACGAATGCAATCGCTCGTGTGTGCACGTGTGTAACGAGCTGTTTTTTGTATGCCTTGGCACTTGCCTTTCGTGCTGCAGCTGCTGCTTTTGGTGAAGCTGTGCGAGCGCACCGCAGCGCTTACAAACACACACGCCGCTATGTCGCCCAACTGGCCGCAAAGTCGGAGCCGTTGTGTCGAACAGTTTACCAGCGATTGTCGTGTGAAAAGGACGTGTTAACGGGAAAAATCGGTAACGGTACAACGTCGTACGTTTTACGCTCGGTCGCGTCGTGCAGTTTTCTAATGGAATACACTGCTACTTCAGCCCAGTGCACAAGTGAAAAAATAATTGGATTTTGTGATAAAGCTCCAAAGAAATAAACGAAATTCATTTAAATGAATGATTAAAGCATCGATTTGTGTATTGTAAAAGTGTTTCGACCATTCAGCAGAGTATTAAAAAGGTATTAGTGCTTGGTGTGCAGCATTTCATTTTATTACCACAATTTCGTCTATATTGTAAAGAAGGCGTTTTCTTGCTGCTGTCGCCAGCGAAAAAACATAGAGCAGACAGTGCTGTCGTGCGAAAAGGCGAAAGCAAAAACAAGGAAAACGAAAAACACAAAATATTATGGCAAATTTGGCTGTGCTTCCTTAATGTGCTGGTCTTTGCAAGCGCTTGCAAGTGGCTAAGTGGGTGTACATATGTATATATATATAAGTGTGTGGCTATGTGTGGTTGTGCGCTTACAAGACTGAGGCGGAAGTGATTTTTGAATATCCGGCTTGTATGTGAGCTGTAAGCTGCGCTACAAGGCGGAAGAACAGGCAAAGCCGCCCATAAAGACATTCATTTGAGCGGCTGCAGGATCTAGCTGCACAGGAATAGATAGCAAAATTGCTGCAGATATACATATACATACACATAAGAATGCAAATATTACGGTTCGCTTAGTTCTCTGCATATATTGCTCCCCGCGCTTCACTATAACTCATAGCGGCGTTAGCTGCTTATCCCTGTCGCTGGCTGTTGTCTGCGCTATTGGCGCTGTCATGTTGGTTGTTTGTTGTTGTCGTGCGGTTGGCTGTTGGCTGCTGTCACCCAGCATGCGCCGCTATGTTGCTGTGATATATTTCATACGCGCATTTGCATATTTTAAGGCGTTAATGCCTGGCATTGTGCTGGCGGAACGCGGAGGCGACGCCTTTTTGCGTTGTTTGGCAAGTAAATATAGCATCATTGACGTGCACAAGCCTTTCTTCTCAGCTGATTTTATACGTGGCGCTTTAACTTGTCGATCATGGCGTAAGATTTATTGCCTTTTCTTATATACAGTTAGCAGATGTGTTGAAAACAGAGCTTGCAAAGTCACAAGCGACTTGCTCTTAAGGCAGCAGTGACAGAAATTTAAACTCAAGCTTTTTGTAGTTTATTAGCATAGTGAGAGCAGTGTGGGTGTGTTAAGCAAAGCCTGCTTTGAGGCGTTCAAGAAATTAGATACTTGAAAACTAGAAGTTGTTTGATATTAAAATATGTAATTTCACAGAGCGGTGTAACCTTGACTATAGCTATTCTAAGCTAATTATACATTTATTAAAGTACGCTTTTAGGCGCTGTAAATGTGTAATGCGGTAATTAAGTGTTTATCGCAATTTATTTTAAATATATAATAATTTACATTACGTACATACTTTTTCATTAATTCCGTCTTAAATTTTGTTTAAAATTTTTTCTTTAAAAAATTAAAAAAAATAAAAAAAATTGTTTTCTTGTTTATTTAATATATATGATAAAAATTTCATAAATAATTTTTCTTTTTTAATTTATTTAAAACAAAATAATTAACGCAAATTATTTGCAGACATATTGAAATTGAACAGATTTGAATAACATATTAAGCGCGCTGCATACCTTTAGGCTCGATTTAGCTAAGCTGTGTATTAATTGCAGCAATAAATGCGGCTTTTAAATAAAATATATCTGCGAAAAAAGGTTTGGAGCAGTATAAGTTGCAAACATTTAGCAAACAATAATTGTTTCTATACTTTTAAGAGTATTGCATACTTTTGGGAACCAAATACAAAAGTTGAAGAAAAAGAAGAATTGCAAAATGCTACCTAATGCAGTAATTTAATTTAGTTTTTTTTATGATTTTTTAGTTTTATAATTTTTTAGTATTTTTAAAATCGTTGCATACATTTTGGCGCAACTTTAGTTTTTTAATTAATCTACGAACTAACCAAGGGAAGTTTGAAACGCAAAGCAGAATATATAAGATCACTCAAGTTCGAGTTGAATGAAAAAAACATGCATTGAAGCAATTGCTGTATACTTTCAAGCATTTGAACCAATTTCTTGTCAATACGGGTGAATTGTTTGAACAGCATAAATAAGCAGTATAGAGTGAGGCGTTTGTAGCATTTTTAGAATATGCAAATCAAAGTAAGTGTGGTTTTGTATTATTGTTGGTCCTTAACTTGGTAGGCTTTAATAGTAAATTTTTGCAATTTTCATGTATTTCACATGTACTGCAATATAAATAATCAAAGTGTTGTTATCAACTGTATTGCTTTTAGTTACGAAAACTTAAATAACCATTTTTAAAGTTAAGTTAATTACTTAAAGTTTTTAATGTGCATAAATGCTATGAGCACAATGAGCACAGTCTACAGCAGCTTAGGCGTAGAGGGCTGACCAGTATTTGCTATTTGTCTAAAATACCTAAACTAATAAGAAATCTTCAAATTTAGTGAACAAACTATGTATATACTTTTTTTTAGGAGCGGTTTTTTTAAAACATATGAATCATTATATGTTTGGCATACTTTTAGGAGTACAGTGATGGTAAAAACCATCCAAAAACTATGGATTAAAGGATAGTAACACAATAGAAATATTTTTGTATTAAAAAGTAATATTTTTTTAATACATCTCTTAGCTTAGCATACCTTAAGGTGCTATTGTTTCTTAAAATTGCCTATATATAGCATACTCTCAAGAGCACATCGGTCGTAGAGTAATAGTAAGATACTACGGATTAAAGTAAAGTAACACAAATGAAAAAAAGAGTAATATTTTTCATATAAAATCTCTTAGCATAGCATACCTTGAGGTGCTTTTTTTGTAAGCTGCATTTTTTTCTGTTTTTCCATAGAATACCCACAGTAAACAATATTATATTATTAAATTTATTTTTTAACGTCACTTCAGTTTTCCAGCCATTATGTACTTACTATTTTAACCTACTTTCAGGCGCTTGTGCCGCGTAAAATCGTTAAAATCAATAGTGACAACAATTAATTGCAAAATCAAAGTAAGAAACAAAAAGTGAGCAAAGCAATTAAAATAGCAACAAAAGCACAAAAAATAAATGCAATTAAAAGTCGCATAAAACAAGCAACAGCAATTAAAATAGCGCAGCAAAAAGAAAAACAGCGCGCGCTCTACGGCAATTGCATTTCCTTATCAATTACATTGGCAACATTGTAAACAAACAAACAACGCGAACGGCAAACGGAAAAGCGCGACGTTCCATTTGTTTACCAATACTGACAGCTGCTGGCGTTGTTGTTGTGCTCGTTGTCGGGCGCTGTCAGCGGCTGTGTGTTCATTTGTGCGTCTGTTTGTGTTACTGTTAATCTGTGTAGCGCCGTAAAAAGCCAATTAATTTGCTTTATTTATGCAAATTGCAAACGCCGAGGGAAGTGAACTCCAGCAAAAAGTGCAAAGCCTCGAATTTTTAGCAAAAACTGTGTAAAAAATGGATTGAGCAATTATAAATAAAGCGAAATTTGTAAGAATTGTGTGACGGCAGCTTCAAAAAATTATGTAAAAAATTAAAATTCGAAAAAAGAGTTTATAAAAAATTTGTTAAAAATAGGATTTAAAAAAATTTCATGTTTGTTGGTTTGATGGCAAATAATAGTGGAAAAATATACAATTCTATTTTTTTAACACAACAACAGCACTCAAGCGATTTTTAAAACATCTAAAAAATTCTCAAAATAATAGCCACTGATTTGTGCTTTTCATTCGACAAATTTACTAAATTGTGGTTTTCGTAAAAGTTAAAAAAAAAATAAATTAATTAAATAAAAAGTGGCAAGAAATTTAAATGCAGCTTGGCACGATTTCTCAAAACTTTAATTCACACTAAATTGCAGCACATTCATTGCGATATACAGACACTCATACATATACCCACAAATATTTTTTTAAAATATCACTTATTTACATAATTTTCATGAGCTTAGTGTGCATAAGCCAATTCAGCAGCAGTTTGCTTCATTTAAGTATTAAAACTCGTTAACTTTTTATAAATTATTTGCAAATAGTTATTTTGGTTTACTCACTGCATTTCATTGGCTGCTTAAATGCAAAAAGTCAATGCAGAAATTGTAAAAAATAAAATGCATTTTTTATTGAACTAAAATGAATTTAATATGTTAACAGGTCAATAATTTGCTTAAAACATTTATTATTTAAATTTTAAAGAAAAAATTATCATTAGCTCACACTATTGCAAAATAAATTACTACAACTACAACACTGCCTTACTTTTAACACTCTTAAAAAGTTATACTAAGCTTGCCACCTAGTTTAAGACACAAAAAAGAAATTATTGGCGGCTCTATAAAATATACATACATATATACATTGTGCAAATTATTTCATGCTCAAAGTATTCAACAAAAACAACTCAAAAAGATTTGCGAGCGATGTCGAGCACTATTGCCATCTTTCTAACATTTGTCTGACGATTTTCAAGCACCATATCTTACCTTTTTTGTAATATTTTCATCGGTTAAGGAGGTCGAAGGTCGTCCAGAACGACTCATGTCTTCAACAGTCTCTCGACAGTCTTTGATGTTTTTGATTAAATTTAGAAAACGTAAGACTTTTCTAATATTCGCAAACGAAATTTGGTTAGAAATGCAAAATTTGAGACAAATTCTTTGTGTACCGACATAAGCAGCTGGTTGACACATCGCGCGCAAAAAACAAAAATAGCAAAATATATTTTTATGAAATATCATTTACCCGCAGAATTATATTTCCGTGTGCTTTTTTAAATTTTTGAGATATCATTATCAAATTACTCGTACGCCTTTTTTTGTTTGAGGAGCTGCTCATTCGCTGGTATCGCCTATATTAGACTTAGCGGCTGTACGGATACTAAATGAGCGATTAGCATCACAGCTTTCTATGGAAAATTTGTTACTTGACGAGATATCTTCAAAATGTTTGTTTCGAAATATCTATCGTCCAAGGAAACTGTCATACAAACTGACCTATCAAGATCCTTATGAAAAAAAAACTAAATACGGTTAGCAAAAAAATAAAAAAAAAAAATCAAATATGTATGTATGTTTGCTAACATTTGAAGATATATTTTTTCCCAATTTTCGTTATATATAATATATTTTATATAAAACGTTTTAGAAATAACAGACATTTAATATTTTTTTTTAATTTATTATTTTTGTCTATAATAAAATTGAATTTTTGGAGTAATTTTCTATTATAAGCTTAAGTTATTAAACTTCGATTATTTAGAATATTCATAATATCTCCAACAACAAATAAATTTTCGAAGAACGGTATACAAACTATAAGTTGGGTTAGGTTAATCTTGTAGGCTAATATGCCACGCATATATCAGTTTTGACCCTTTACGATGCCAGATGGAGTTCAGTTGCTAGGTCAAAGATTGGTAGTCACCCTTTCGGATGCCTGCGCTTGATGCGAGTTTTAACGGAATCTGCTGCTTCACTACAGATACCTCCTCCAGCGTATCATACCGTGGGGAGCGCAGATGCTTATAGCGTAGTCTTTGTTATGCAGCACAAGTGCTCAAGAGATGATATTCCCTGCTGCCCTCTTTTCGAGAGTGAACAATTAGTATTAGTATTATTATAGAAACTGAAGGTATTAAACTGAGTTATTTTCTAAGCTAACTAAAAAGTGGTTCAATGAGGTAAAAGCACAAAAATGCTGAAATCGTAACAAATGTTTTTTGCGCTTTTAGAAACTAAACTGCAAATTTTATGTATACGAAGATGAAAGGCAAAAAATTAAAATTTTTTTAATATGTATTTCACATATTATAACTTACATATATTTATACTAGAGCGGATTGACTTGTGGCGCCAAAAAACCGAAAAATTGCGCCAGCGAAAAATGTTCAACAGATAATTTTGAACAACTTTGAGTAAGAGAATATAGATCTTTAACCTCAGCGAAGTACCTCAAAAATCATAAGAATTTATTCCTGAGTTTTTGAGTTGGAAACATGAGTGCATTTTGATATTCTACTGGTCATTTGTCGGAATCCTTCAGATTGAACAAATATATCAAATATCACCCATAAAAAAGAGCATTCATATTTTATCCATATTCGCTTAGGCAAACTTGATTCGTAAAATATTTCCTGCCACCGAGAGGTGAAAATTCGACCCGCGCTAATGTATACACATATGTATGCATAAATCAAAAAAAAATTAAGCATTCTTTTATTGTTGTTGTTTCTTTAATTCCTAAGTATATTTTAATATTGAAAATATTAATTTCAAATTTGTTATAAAGTAATCATTTCAAACTTCAAGTGAGATTAAGGAGAAGTTAGTAGTAGTTTTAGTAGTTAGTTTTTTTCTATCAAATTTGCGCAAAGCTTTTAAAATTAAAATTCCTAAACTGGTAGTTAATTTACTACAAAAAATTAATAACTATTTTTATAAATAATTATAATAATAATGATCTCTTACTTTTTTAATTTCCTTTCTAGAAGCATTTTTTCATATTTTTTTTATTTTTAATCCCAACTTTTTAGAGAAAGTATTTTTTAGACGCTGTGGGTTTTGATTTTTATTTTTAACCTAAATTTTAGACAAAAAAGTTGGATAATTTGATTTTCAAGGAATAAATTTGCCGACTTGTATGAGCTATAGCATATATGTATTTCTTTTATTTTTTTAAATCTTAATTATTAGCTCGGAGTTAAAATTTTTGGTTTCAGATTTTTCAAACCGATATAAGCTTCAAAAAAAAAAATTTTGTTATGTATTATATGTTTTATTTCTTTTAATGAATTCTTTACAATTATGACTATATAAAATTCTGAAATATACCATCTTATTTGTATTGCAATGATTTAGAATATTTCAAGTTTCATCTTTAAATCAAAAATCTATTCTAATTGGAACAATCAATCTAAAATAAATTTTTCATAAGCTTACAGGCGAAGGAAAAACGATATAATAGAGACCACACATATTGAAAATTGGGATTTTGGTTAAAAAATGGTTTTTAGAAATGGATACTTATTGGTTATATCTGACGACGGAAGCTTAAGTTTGGTTGATTTTTTACATATACATATGTATATATACATATAAAATCAAAAATAATTCGTGTAGTGAAACAAAAGCAATAAAAGACTTAATTTTGATATGTTGTTTTACATTTTAGGTAACGATTAATAAGAAAAAGTTTTCATCTTACTCTACAATAAAGCTTTTAAAGAAAACATTTTAAAAAAAAAAAAAAAAAAAAAAATCATGAAAATCTTTTCTCATATAAATTTTAATAAATTTATAATAAAAATTCAACAAAATGCTGAATTTTAATAATTAAATAAATAATAATAATTATTCGTTTTTACTTACCATTTCAGATGATTTTAAAAGGCATAGACGAAGTAACTCTTCAATCTACCAAAAATAACAAAAAAATTACTTAGATTGTCACTAATAAATGGCTTGCAAAGAAAGGCTATAATTTCTGTAACGCAAAGTGGAAATTGTGAAAATTATTTGCTAGTGAAAATAAGAAGAAAAAAAAGTACACGTGCAGATTTGTTACTGTGAACATTTGTGAAACATAAAATTAGTTAGTGGTAATAATACAGAAATATGAAAAAATGGGGCGCAGCACACAAAAAAATATTAAAAATAAATAGAAATTATGAAACAAATTGAATGATAAGAGAAACACAGCATAGTGCTTAAAAACCCCTGAAAGTATGCAACGCCAACTGAAACAACAGAACGCGCGTAAGCACTGATAAGTTCGAATTTCCGTGAGAAACGCCAGCTAAAAGCAGCACACAGCAACGCCAACTTAAGTCTAGCAGGCAGCTGTGCTTAAGCGCCCACTAGTATGGCTCACAAGTGTATTTATGTATGTGTGCTGAAAGAAATGTCAATAAAACAGCCGTGTGTGAGTGAAAACTAATAATAACAAAAGCAAAGCCGGAATGCAAACAGAATAAACAAAACAAAAAAAATTTAGAAAAAATACTGGAAAAAGCAAACAACAAAAGTAGGCTACCAGGCGATAAACACAACAAAAGTGAGTTATTAAAAATTATGTAAAAAGCTGCTGGAAACAAATGCTGCTAATAAATGCCAGTGCAACAAAAAATAGTTAAAGTAAAGAAAAAATAACCGTTGAAAGTAAATTCCGCTCTGAATGAAAGCGCAACAGTGGTAAAAAATCAGATTAATTAAAACGGCGTGTGTAGAGAAAAAAAAAAAAAACGAAAAATCGCAAAGCAAATACGCACACAGCAAACAGACGAGAGTGAAAAAGTGAGTCTCCCAGCTCAACTCAACTCAACTCAATTCAACTCAACTAATCAATTGCAAGCAGGCACCACTAAGCGCCAGCAAAGCAAAAAGATAAACAAAACCTACATCCACAATACCGTTGCAGCACTCTGCACCCCTCTCACCCTCTCCACCCCCACAGCTGCCACAGCACACGCACTAGACGCAATCAATGCCCACTAGACAAGCACGCCGCTCCAAAGTGCACTCGAAGTCTACACAGCTGCACCGCTAAAGCTCTATGCTCCACACTCCACTCCGCCCCAGCTGCAGCCGTCATTTATTAAACGCAAAAAAGTAAAAAAAAAAAAATATTGCATACTTTTCTGCTTGCACTATTTAACTACGCGCTCACTCGCCTGACGCTTCCACAAGCAGTAGCGGCAGCTCGACGCTTCAGAGGGAATAAAACGCGAAACGATAATTTCAGAAAAGGTAGGTTAATCATAGATTAAAATGCGTTTATTGTGCACATTTATCAATGTAAGCGCCCGGCTACACTGCACGACGCCTGCCGATATGCAGCGCTTATTGTTGGCATTGTGCCGCGGCTGTCATAATGCGCACTTGTAGTTTCTCTTTCGTTTAAATGCGGCGCTTATGAAAAGTGAAATACGCGGCAGCAGATAATTAAGTTGGCATTAATGGCGCTTTTGCCATATAACGCTGGCGGAAGCGCCTTGAAGTAGGCCAATATTATTTCAATCATTTATCGCAACGTATTAACGAGACTGCGAAAATAAGCGCAAAGATAATTGCTGCCTTTTGCTCGGTTTTACCTTGTAGGTATGTATGTGCAGCTTTTCAACATGATTAAATTCGAAATAAAATCTTTAAAGTTTTCGCTTAAAGCGTTATTTAATTGCCTTTGTGGTAATAACAAAGTTAAAGAGTAATAGCATTATGACAACCACAAGACATTGAACTGTTTAAATTTTACGAATTAATACATGCTATAAGAAAGATAGTTAGTACAATTTCATTACTATTTCTAAATATTTAAAAGTATATTTATATACTATATCTTGCAATCTATTCATAAGAACTTAGTTAGAAAGTTTTCGAAAGAATTATTGTTTCTAAGAAATATTTACAATTATGCTATAGCTGGTGAAAGTTAGACTAATTCATGCTACGAAATTATTAGGAACTTTATTAATTTTGTGATGTTAGCCTAAAAGTATGCTATGATACTAACATAGCTTTGCTATGTTAAGGCTTCATAGAAGCAACTTAAGTGATTATATATTAAGGACAAGCTGCAACCTGCGCACATTGCACAATGTAGAAAATTGGTCGTGTCAACTCAAAAACCTTCATAAATAGTTTGGTTTAATACGATACGGAAACAATTCGAAGCCAATTCATGGATTTTTCCCTACCTTCTTATTGACTTGTGACACATTGTATTGTCTTGGTGAAACAGCCATTTCTTTTTCTTCAAATGACCCCGTTTTTGCCAATTTCATCCTTCAAACGGTCCCATAATTGTATATAATAGTTGCTGTTGATGGTCTTTCATTTTTTCAATGGGAATTCGGAGTGAAATAATAGCGCCATGTCACATACGCAAAAACTTGTCGTTGTTTTTGGTAAAAAATGAACACGTGCGGCACCCACTTTTCAGAGAGCTTTCTCATGCCCAAATATTAGTAAATGCTATGATATACTCATTCATTTGATATCCTGAAAACGCCTGCTTTCTCGAACAATTCCATTTTTTATATTTTTCGAAAATTATTTTGTGGACCTTTTTGATGCTTTCTTCGGTAAAAAACACTTTAGGGCATCCATTGTATTCACCGTCTTCGGTACTCATTTCTTCATATCTAAAGTTGGCATATCAACCCATTATGCTTGGTTTTTCAGGCGCAGTGTCCGGTAACTTGTCAGCAATTCAAGCTTGTGCTTCAACTGTAATGTTTCCCTTCGATACCCTATATTTTACCAACACCCGAAATTACTTTTTATCCAATTTTTTCAAAGACAAAAGTAGTTTCACTCAATATGATATAATTTATAAATTAGTGATGCGATAGCTGTCAAATTTATATATGCGTCTTTTAAAGCTTAGGGATTTAATTATAGTGGCACCATCTATTTGTCAGGTCAGGGACTTTTTTCGTTTGAAATGATAATAATAAATAGTTTTGTTGCTTAAAAGTATTGAAGTTACAGTAATATTGAACTGAACACAACTGTCCAGTTTCTTTTATTCGTTTTTAAAACATTAATAATATAATTACATATATTCAAATTATATACACTCGACAATGTGCTGGTATTATATGAAAACTCTGAGCAATACTCAAGACCATCTGCACCGTTGCTAGTGCCCAAAGACCTTAACGAATTTCCATCCCTCTCTTAATATATTTGGATTACAGGCGCATTATTTAAAACAGATGCGATGATGTAAGCGAGATACAGACCTCTTGCTTCTTTTCTTTTTGTCCACCACTACCAGCTTAGCTCCGAGGTATATCCCCCTACCTTGACTATATTCTCTTAAAAGAATTAGACTAATCTCTCGCCGAAGCAAGCAATCATTTTGAGTTGTCCCTGGTACCAGTAGGCATCTGTGTACGATTGCACTTCGTAATAGCACTTAAAGCTCCATGTTTGTCAGCATGCATTCACTTTCATTAGACTTCGAGAATTTTTCGGCATCTTCCTTATCCAGTACTCCTTTCACAATACATACAGTTTGTCTTCGATCGTTTGGCTCTCGGCTGAGCATTTCCACCTAAGGATCGTGTGTATCACGTTCTCACGATAATTCTACAGACTTAGCGTCATCCAATTTTAGTTAAAATCTCCTAACAAGGTACCTACTCGGACAATTTCAACCATATCACCCCAACATTCTTTCATTAGTGTGTGAAAATATTTCCCATAGGACACAACTTTAAATTCCATCTGATTTATTCACTTTCAGAACCCCTAAATGTATACGGATAAGGCTTTTCACGAATCTGTTCATTTGAGCTGTGTCACTTTATGAATAAAAATTGTTCAAATCGAGGCGAAACTATCCACGCCTTCAGATACCCAATGTGTCGACCCCAATGTCTATTGTGATAATATCAGTCAATCTGTGGGATATACTATATTAAGGGGTCAGTAAGATAATGTTTTTACACAAAAAAAAATTTTTGTTTTTTAATTTTATGTTCTCTTATACCCTTAGAATCAATGTAGAAACCACTTTATCATTGGAAGTTTTCGAAAAAGGCCCAAAAATAATAATACCCTCAAAACCTCAAACTTTAAACCAGTTTTTCTCCAAACATACTTTTTTAAACTGGCGAACATGATTCCACAAAATGCCTGGCTACCGTTCCTATATTTTTTATAATTTATAGACAACGTTGTAGCAAAATTTATGAAAAAAAAATTAGAAAAAATTAAAACAAAAACAAACGTTAACTGCATTTTAATTTATCAATATTTTTTTCATAATTCTAGTAGAGACGGTAACCATTCACGAATGAATGAAAAATATGTCAAAAAAACCAGGCCAGTTTACTTTACTGAGCCCTTGAAGATTATAATGATAAGCCTTTTCTGAAAATATTATGTCATTATATCGGATATGGGTAGATAAGGGTCAGTATTTTTCTTATCCTTCATAGACTTAATAGAAAGGTGTACGAACTTCCGGCTGACTTTAAACCGTATATATCGGCAAATACGTAAGTTATAACAATAAAAATGAGACATAACAGTGCAACTTTACACCATATAATTGCTGATTTTAGGTGAGTAGAGGTACCTTAATGAAATTCACAAAACATTTTTAAAATCAAGTTTTGACTACAAAGGCAGGTTTTTCTTCACCTTTGATCCTGCCAAGTCCTTCCTTACTTGCTTAATATTGTAATTTTCTGCAACTTATACTGGGACGACAAATGTGCATAGTACCCGTTGTGCAAGAAAAGCTGTTTTTGCGGAGGCTGGGCTGCTGTCACGAGTACTCAATCTCCATTAGGAGGGTAGGGATTAGATAGTTTTTTGCCCTCCAACGGCAGACCAAAGAAACGTGCGTGTCTCCTATTGTCCTAAAGATTTCTTGGTTTAAAGTATATCTCATGTGAAGCCCATAACTTAACTGAATTTCTGCTTTCATGTACCGGCTGCCAAATTCATAAGTTAATACTGGAAAAAGGTGTCTTAAACACACATTTCAATTTGAATTGAAGACATATTTTACGCTGGATATGATAAAACAGGGTCTGTTCTGGATAAGTAGGAGTTTAACCTGCTATAGTATCCAACACTGAAGGGTCACTGTCGTTTTGAACTCTCATCTCGAGCTCTTTGTCTGCAATGGGTGGGAGGGCTCTTAATCAGATTGATTTCCGGTAACACTTCAATGTCGAATGTTGTACTGTTTAGGAACAACGAACACCCAACTATGAAGTCAGACCTGATATATCGGCACTCTCGAGGAGTGTTCAGAATGAGATATTTGCGCACCAAAAAATTTCTTTTGATTTTCATAATTTTATCCGATATGTAGGCTACTTCGAAGTCCACATAACTTATGTAAAATATGAACTTATAAAATTAAACAGGTTGAACCTTCGTCCTAGGCAAATAGGTCCAGTCTATGCGGGAAATCTCGCTTCGATTCAAGCCTTGGAGAAAAACCTCATGCCTGTCGCGAGTAATCTCTCAAAATGTTCGAGCGAATCATCAAAAATTGGACGCAATGGATAAACTATCTGAGATGTAGCCGCGGGAAAAATTTGAAAGAGATATTGATCAAAAATTAAATTCCAAGGAATGTTCTTTCGAATTATAAATATTTTCCATTAGACTTGAAGTTTACTTATTATACCAAAAACATGTTTTTTTTTACCTACTTTTTTCATATTTCACCCTTAATTTAATCTTAGGCATTCGCTTTCACTTCCCTACTCACACTTCACTTTTTCATTTCACTTTTAAAACTTTCTGGCACAAAGCAACATGAATATTTCAAAATTTAATTCTTATTTCATATTTACATGCGCACTTTCTTACCTACTTACTTACCCACTTACTTGCCTTCTTACTTAATACTTACTTACGCACTTACCTACCCACTTACAGCAGATGTGTACACATATAAAACCCTATGGCAAGCGCTGCTGGCTAACGGTGCCAGTGCGAGTTTGTATGTGTGTGTTAATATGTAAATACAGATATATGTTTATATTAATGTGTGTGTGTTTGAAAGTAAGTAAGGCGTTTACTTAACTGCTTATGCACTTACGCGTTCACTTGTCGCAAAGGCTATTTACCAACACGCACACATGCATATTTAAGCACATGTAGGCATAGTTGCTTTTACATATATACCTCTGCTTTTATGTACTACCATATATACATATGTATATAAGTATAAAAGAGTATGGTTGTACCTTACAGTGGCCATTAATATGCTACAA